CCGCTGTGCATGAGGCATTATGGCTTCCTTCCCTCCTTACTACACTTAGACTTCCCCCGAACGGGCCCCCCCGAATCTCTAGTGACAACAACAGTGCAATTATTCTTGCCAGGGATGATGCCGTCTTCCATCACAAGGTCAAGCACATCGACATCAAGCACCATCTCATTCGTGATCATGTTGTAGACCACTCCGTCACCCTTCACTATGTTCCTTCTTACTCAAGACAACCTCACTGATAATAGCACCAAGCCTTTGCCCCGTGACCTAGGCTTGAGCAAAGGGCAAACATGAACATGTACGCGTTCGCCCGGGCAAAAACGCCCATGTTCGGCGAACCAAACACCCTTACAAAGAAGGTGTTCAGGCGAACCGAACACCCTCACAAGCGAGCAGCAAGGTGTTCAGGGCAAACACGAAGATGTTCGCAACAAACATGTTGGTGTTCGTTTTTGGCAACCTTCGTTATAGTTACAAGGGGATGTTGGATTTAGGCAAACAGGAAGTTTGGTGAAAACATGTTTCTGGTAATACCATGCTGGTTTCCTACACTAAAACGCCCGAACTCGCCATTGGCGCCATCCTTCGTCTAGTTTAAGAAACAGATCCTAATTACGCTAACCCTAAATGAGTAGTGTAACCCATCCACGTGAGCTCCTAGTGGTATTAAAGGCTGCTGGGGAGGAGATCGACTAAATTAGGGCTCAGAAAATAGCTCAAACAGAATGTCCCGTCGACCTAAAAAGCTAGTCGCAGAACATTCGCGGTGAACACATTCGTGATCGTTTCTCCCATGAATCGAACACGAACGTGATCATGTTCGTCGCGGCTCGGCCTTCCACTACGAGCCGAACACGAACGTGTTTGCCACGAACACTTTAGGCCCAAAAAACAAAACTGCTCGGTTCGCCTCGAAGTGTTCACCGACAGTGAAGTGTGGTCATAATTGGCATTGCCACCTATCTACACATCCCATGCTCACCTTGCTGGCCCCTATGGTGTGTCATATGCCCAGGGTTCAAAAAAACGACCGTTTTATTGAAAATTTACCGTAAAAAACGGTACCGTAAAAAACGGTCGTAAAAAACGGTTTAAAACGGTTCCAGGAGGTGTTTCCTCTATAACTAACAAAACAGCCACCTAGTGGGACCAAATTGAACCCGAAATGCAGCAGCATGAAGGGGATGGATCCCATTTTCCATTTATGCGCTTGTTGGCATGATTGAAAATGTTTTTGACCTTGTTTTTCTATATTTTTTCTTGGTGAACAGAGTTCTCTAACAAAAAAACGGCCGTTTTTTTTTTAAATCACCGTAAAAAACGGACCGTATTTTACGGAAACCGTAATTTTGAACCTTGCATATGCCATTATGTAAGCTGTTGTTCCAGCATATTACACACCACAGGGCGTCCAGCGTAAAAACATGGCGTTTTGACTCTACAGTCAAAACTGCTGGCTCCATCAAATCCATCTAAGGAGAGCAGCCAAAGAAACCAGGGTAGAGTAGAGGGCCTTGCAAGATGCAAGCAACAAGAACTGATGGGGGGTGTAAGAGCAGTGGAAAGTGGCGGTTGATGCGGTCAAGAGCACCAAAAGCAAGAATCCTCCCCGGTGAGTGATGAAGCCTCACAGGGAGATCATGCTGGTCAGTGAGCCAATGTCAGCCGGGATAGAGCCGGTGAGCGTATTGTTGAAAATCCACCTGCACGGATAGAGAGAGGAATTGTGTGGGGGGGGGCTGTTACCGCAGCCCGCCGTTGGTCAGCGAGACGGGGGTGCCCCAAGAGAGTAGAACGTACGTAAACAGACACGTAAGATTAACTAAGCAAGGGACCACTCAGGGTGGTGTTTCACTTCAAGGGAGGTAATGGTAGCTGGTGAAAGGGATGAGCAAGGGGCGAACACGAACATGTTCGTGTTCGCCCCTGCACGAACACAGCCGTTTGCTGAACCGAACAATGTTCGGTTCGGCGAACACTTTTAGCAAAAACAGATGTTCAGTGTTCGCCTGTGAAGGAGTGTTCGGGCGAATTGCAGCAGCGGCCCGAACACGAACGTGTTTGGGCAAACCTCAAACACGTTCGTCACGATCACTTTAAGCTAAGAAAATAAACCTGTTCGGTTCGCCTCGAACACCTTCGAGACGAACCGAACAAGTGTTCGTTTTTTTGCTCATCCCTAGCTGGTGATGAGAGCAAAGTGAGTGCCCCAAGCGCATTGCCCAGCGCCAGCCTCCCGGTGTCAATTGACGGGCTGGTCCTCATGGACACAGCACAGGAGGCCGTGCCGGCATTTGTGCCCAGCAAGACCCAGGATCTCTCCCAGCTGCTGCCGACACCTACAGCTGCCCTCGTCCCATCCCCTCGCCTAACTAAGGCCTGCCCTCAATGGGCCCTTCACCACCAACCTCCCACTGCATCGGTTAATGCGGGAATGTGAGGCATTGCTCCCAGCCAGAATACACTAGGGCAATGCTGGTAACGGGGTGAAAGGAACACACCGAGACAAGGCTGCAGCACCGACTTTCCAATACCGCATGATCAGACAACCACCTTCATCAGCAACTCTCGGCATCAAGCCTCCGTCCCTAAAATTGACCACACTCCCGCTTATTCATCCATACCTGCCAGCCAGCCACCCCAAAATGTAGTCTCCTCGTTTACCAGTAGTTGCGTATCCATTGTCATACAGCCATAGTTGTAGCTTTGCTCTAAATACCTGATGCTGATGATATTACTGTACCGGGTAAAATTGCTGTGCCTCATAACATTGCTGCACCATATTACATCGCTGCGCTGATCCGATGATGTTGCCAAACGACGATATTGCTGCACCAGTGGTATTGCTGCACCTGACAATATTACTGCACCTGACGATATTACTGCACCCGATGATATTGCTGCACCCGATGATATTGCTGCACCTGATGATATTGCTGCACCTGATGATATTGCTGCACCTGATGGTATTGCTTCACCTGATGATATTGCTGCACCTGATGAGATTACTGCACCTGATGATATTGCTGCAACAGAAAGAGGCAGCTACGTTGGAAAATACGCCTACAAATCGCTAAAATACGCCGGGGCAGCCCTTAACAAAAAAAAAAAAAAAAAAAAAAAAACGAGAATTTGCGACGGCGAGAATTGAACCCTCGACCTCGCACAGCACCCAACCCCTTTCTGCAATTCGAAATTCAAAATCCAACCCCTCCCACATCCCTAACCTCACAACACCCCTCTCAACCTCCTAAACCCAACCTCCCCCCTTTCACTCGTTCGAACATCTCCTCAATCGCTATACAGCTCGTCTTTCATTCAATCCCGCATTTCTCTTCTTGCATTTCGTCCAACCCTCGTCGAGCTCGAACTCTCCTAGCTTTGGTACTTCCTCGCCATGGCGACCTCTACTCCCTACATTTCGAGGGCGGAACCTGCCCGGGAAAAAAGTTTTACCTGCCCGCCCAGCGTATTTTTGCGTATCAGCAGTACGCCAGCCATTGCGTACCGCGTATATACCAAGCGTATAATACGCTAGCGTATAATACTGGATACTCGTATTTTCCAACGTAGAGAGGCAGAGGCGAAGCGATGGAGAGGAAGACCAGACCAGAGTGAACATGGACTGGGAGAGGGAGGACCATAACGGGCAACAGTTGTGACAGGGTCTTGAACAGTGTGCGTCGCACTCACAGAACTTTCAGAAGGCTGAGGAAAGTCACGGTGGCAGGGATGCTACCTGGCAGCTGGTTGCTTGCAAGATCGCTGTGCGGAAAAAATTACAGCAGCAAGGAGGGCAGGCTGTCGGAAATGAGAAGTTGAGCAAACCACACGGGGGGAAAGAAAGGTAGTGTTGCTCAAACTCCGCATTGTCCACCTTTGCCTTGCCCACCCATAGCCCAGCCAGCCTTAGCCATAGGCCTGCCTGAGCACGGGTCCGAGCCGAGGCTGCTTGGATCAAGCGAGCTGGGATGGGCTTGTTGTTATCCCGACTTGTGCCAAGTTGGTTCAACACAAGCCAATCCAACCTGGCTCGTAAATCGAAAATGGGCCATTGTGGCTGAGATGAGAGCTGGACGGCCACAAGCCCCGACTCGAGCCTCTAGTCTAGTTGCGATTTTGTTCTGCTAAAATACTACTTGACGAGTAGTACTTAATGTTAGTGTTAGCCCTCAATCTCACACTTTGTATTTTGTACTTTCTATATCCTAGCGTAGTGAAGTTTGCATATTGTGTTTGGTTGGGTGTCACCCACATCCCAACCAAACCCAAATGTGATCTCCAAGCAATCTCCAACCCACTAATTGGAGATTGCCTTGGGATAACCCCCCATCCCTAGATTTTGTCCCCGATTCCCCTCCCCATCCATTCCTTGCTCATCTTGGATGTACTTAAAGCCAGCAGGCAAAATAGTGACCCCGTCCCAACTTGAATGTGATGTTGCGACAGAATTTTTTGGAAGCGAAGCGAGAATGAAACAAGTCTGACAAAACACTGCTTGAAACAATTCGTGCAAGCAGAGTGAGCTCATGGGATGTTGTGGCTCCCGCCTGAATGGACTTTCCCAGTCACATTTCTGCGACCTGCACTTGCACGACCGTTTCCTTGCGATGGTTTCCATCACCCTGGCAATGGGTTCCATCGCAAGGCCCAAATTCAATATCAAACTGGTCCAGGGTTCATAGCTGCCTGATTTCTACTCCCTTGAAAGTTTTTTGCCACGCTTAGTATAGCGGGAAACTTAGGTGCTTATGTCATAGGCGCGAAATTATCGACGACCGCGTTTGTTATTGACTTAGCATGAGTGCGCGAAATTAGTAATACGTGACCTAGTAGCGCGGTGCTATTTTTCCCGCCAGCAGGGCAATCGTCAACCTCCTCGTCGCCCTTCCTTTCTCCCCTCTCGTCACCCTCCTCGCCGCCTATGTGCTCGCCTCGACATTTGAAACGACCTATCGTCGCCCTTCCTTTCTCCCCTCCCGTCACCCACCTCGCCGCCTATGTGCTCGCCTCGACATTTGAAACGCCCTATCGTCGCCCTTCCTTTCTCCCCTCCCGTCACCCACCTCGCCGCCTATGCGCTCGCCTCGACATTGAAACGCCCTCTCGTCGCCCTTCCTTTCTCCCCTCCCGTCATCCACCTCGTCGCTTATGCGCTCGCCTCAACATTGAAACGCCCTCTCGTCGCTCTTCCTTTCGTCGCTCTCGCTCTCTCCCGTCCCTTCCCGTCGCTCTCGCTCTCTCCCCTCCCTTCCCGTCGCTCTCTATCTCTCTCTCTCTCTCTCTCTCTCTCTCTCTCTCTCTCTCTCTCTCTCTCTCTCTCGTCGCTCCCTTTCAGTTGCTCTCGCCATCTCCCCTCCCTTCCCATCACTCTCGCTCTCTCCCATCCATTCCCGTCGCTCTCGCTCTCTCCCATCCCTTCCCGTCGCTCTCGCTCTCTCCTCTTCCTTCCCGTCGCTCTCTCTCTCTCTCGCCGCTCCTTTCCGTTGCCCTCGCCTTCTCCCCTCCCTTCTCGTCGCTCTCGCTTTCTCCCCTCCCTCCCCGTCGCTCTCTGAAACTCTCCCCTCCCTTCCCGTCGCTCTTTCTCTCGTCGCTCCCTTCCTGTCGCTCTTTCTCTCGTCGCTCCCTTCCCGTCGCTCTCTCTCTCGTCGCTCCCTTCCGGTCGCCCTCGATGCACGAGTCCTCTCACACCCCCCATCCCCCACCCCATCGCCTTCCCGCTCGCCACAAAACGCCCTCCCGCCCCCCACCCAGTTTCTCCTCCCATCGCCTGCCTCGTCGCCTTCGCACTCGCCCTCCAACGCACTACCCGTGCCCTTCCTCTCTCCCTTCCTCTCGCCCTTCTCCCCCCCTCTCCTGTCGAGCTCGCTTTCTCTCCCCGTCTCCCGTCGAGCTCGCTTTCTCCCCCCCACTCCCGTCGAGCTCGCTTTCTCCCCCCCCTCTCCCAACATCACCATACTTGTCCCTATCGCCCTCTCTCCCACCCGTAGCGTCACAATTCCCGTCGCCCCCTCCCTCTCACCCCTCTCGCCTCCCCTCCGAAACACCCTCGCGTCGCCTACCCCGTGTCTTTCCTCGCTTCCCATCGCCTCCGCGCTCTCCTGTCCCGTCCCGTTGCCCTCGTGCCTTCCCTCCCGCTCCCGCGCTTTTGCACTTGCCCATTCCGTCCAATCCCGTCGCCCACCGTCCCTTCCCGTCGCCTTCACACTCGCCAATGCCTAAACCCTTCCCGCCCCTTCCTGTAGCCTTCGCGCTCGCCCATCCCATCCCTTCTCGTCGCCTTCGCACTCGCCCATCCCATGCCCTCCCGTCGCCCTCGTGATCTCCCTTCTCGCCGCCTTTGCGCTCGCCCTGAAACGCCCAATCGCGCCCTGACTCTCTCCCTCCCATTACCCACCTCGCCGGCCTCGAGCTCGCCACGAAATGCCCTCTCATCTTCTTTCCGTCCTCCTTGTTTCCGAAGCCCTCATTTTTCCCCCTTCTTCCCGTCCTCCTTGTTTCCCCTCTCGCCCCGTCGCCTTCGTGCTCTTCCCTCTCGTCCCTTCCCTTCACCTTGGAACTCTATGCTTTTTCCCGCGTATGTTTTTTTCCCATGGCAGTTGTTCCATGTGAATTGCACATGCTACCACTCGATGTGAATTTGTCACTCTTGCACAATGAGAATTGCATGTCGCAACGTTGCAAAACATTTGCACATGCTTGAATACATTTGCACATGCTTGCGACCCCTACTGTGTCGAAATTGAAATGACAGACGGGGAAAAAAAAAACTCACAAGTCAACACTTCAACTTTCCAAAACAACACAAACTATGATTCAGATTTCCAGTGGACCCAACTAAAAGGGGGGGGTCACTATTTTGCCTATGGGCTTTAAAGAGCTTCAAGCTCATTACTACTGTAAGGATTCCAAGCTCAAGTTCTGACACGGTATCAGAACGTTGGCTGGGAGTCACGAGAACATGGTGATGTGAGGAAGTACGGGCCTAAAGAGTGGAAGCGGAGAAAGTAATCATGTAGGAAAAAGACAATCACTAGAAAAAACAGATCTGAAAGCACGCTGGCTGGCTTGTCAAAGCGAGGCGCCGATAAACAGGGAGAGCGGCTCTCGGCGGGCTCACCTCAAGCTGCAACGAGAAATCAGAGGCTAGGCTCGATGCTTTTTCGAACCTAGACCTGGCTCAGTATTTGATCAGGCCTACTTAGCTGGTCACGTGGTCACGGACTTTTGTTAGGCAGAACCGACGCTCTGCAAAATGAGGACCGTTCACTAGTCCGAGTAGGGATGATTGGAGGAGGTAAGCAGGCTGGGAATAGAGAGAGTGAGGGGAGAAACGAAGTAGGAAGGGGTTTAGGAGGAGGCCAGAACTGGTAGGGGGCGGCAAGAAATGGGGAAAGGCGGGAGGAGGGAGAGGTGGGCTGGAGAAACGACACGAGGTGTAGCTGTGCTGAGGGATGAAAGGTGGGGTGGGGTGCCGATTCCCTGCAGCAAGTTGTCAAGACGGCATGACGTTGAGGACGTACAGAAAAGTGAGCTTGCTGAGGCTGCTGAGGGAGTTTGGAATCTGCCCTCCCAGCTTGTAGTTCCGGAGTTGCCTGTTTCATGGTGTGTCAATGATGGTGTGTCAATGAACGTGTCGATGCTGGTGATCATGGAGCATTGCTTTTGAAGAAAGGCTATAATTGCAGCACGATGGAGGGCACCCTCTGCCAATCACCCCCTCTCTCCCATCCTCTCACTCCCATCCTCTCACCCTCATCCTCTCACTCCCATCCTCTCACTCCCATCCTCTCACTCCCATCCTCTCACTCCCATCCTCTCGCTCCCATCCTCTACTCCCATCCTCTCACTCCCATCCTCTCACTCCCATCCTCTCGATCCCATCCTCTACTCCCATCCTCTCACTCCCATCCTCTCACTCCCATCCTCTTGCTCCCATCCTCTACTCCCATCCTCTCACTCCCATCCTCTCACTCCCATCCTCTCGCTCCCATCCTCTTACTCCCATCCTCTCACTCCCATCCTCTCACTCCCATCCTCTTGTCACAACTTAGGCTTATAAGCGATGCATTAGTAATGAGCTTGAAGCTCTTTAAGTACATCCAAGAAGGGTAAGGAATAGTTGGGGAAGAGAATCAGAGGCAATCCCTAGGGATTGGGGGTAATCCCAAGGCAATCTCCAATTGGTGGGTTGGAGATTGCTTGGAGATTACATTTGGGTTTGGTTGGGATGTAGGTATACACCCAACCAAACACAATGTGCAAACTACACTTCTCTAGGATATAGAAAATACAAAGTACAAAGTGTGAGATTGAAGGCTAACACTAACACCCCCCCATAGGCGTCAATCGAACTCAGGGCAGAGAGGGTGGAGCACAGAGCCCCATGGCGCCAAGGAGACGGTGGTGGGGAACTTTCCCAAGGGGCTTGGTGAACAGATCAGCCAGGTTGCAGTCAGATGCAACGTACTCCACTTTCAACTGCTCCTGCTGGACAAGGTCACGGATGAAGAAGTGCCGGAGTTCAATATGCTTGGTGCGGGTGTGATACACAGGGTCTTGAGAGATGTGGATGGTACTCTGGTTGTCACACCAGAGGGTGGGGGCGGACTGTGGGAAACCGAGCTCCTGGAGTAGGAAGGTGAGCCAACGGGCCTCCTGAGCAGCCATGGTGCCTGCGTAGAGCTCTGCCTCACATGAGGAGAGGGAGACTGCTGACGACCTGGTGGAGCGCCAACTGATAATTCCGCTCCCAAGGGTGAAGCAGTAACCCTGAGAGGAGCGTCGGTCGGTCTGGTCATCAGCCCAGGAGGAGTCGGTGTAACCTTCCAGGCGAGGAGGGGAGAGCCCACCGAGTGTGAGAACATGAGACTTGGTGCCCTGAAGATAGCGCAGCACCCGCTTCGCCGCCTTCCAGTGAAGATCAGTGAAGCGTCCAGGGGCCACGTAGCGAGAGAGGACACTGACAGGATAGGCCAAGTCCGTGCACATCATGGCGTACATGAGGGACCCAACAAGCTCCGGGTATGGCTCAGAGCAGGCCTCTGGTGTGGGTACAGCTGGAGCTGTGAGGATGTGTTGCAGCGGCAGCGGGGTGGCAACAGGAGTGCACAGCTCCATCTCAAACCGCTTGAGCACATTGTCGATGTAGAACTCCTGGGAGAGTGAAATGGTGCGAGCCTGGCGATCACGAGTGATCTCCATCCCCAGGTAGTGCTTGAGGTCATCGAGGTCTTTCATCTGGAGGGCCTTGCTCAGGGCTGCCTGGACAGAGGTCATCTGGGCCGAGTCCTTGGCAACGAGGATGAAGTCATCCACGTAGACCAGGATGTAGAATGGCTCAGAATGACGGCGGATGAAGAGAGTCGGGTCAGCAAATGAAGGGTGGAAGTCCAGGGAGAGGAGGACTTCTTTCACCTTGTTGTGCCATTCGCTAGGGGCTTGCTTAAGGCCGTAGACCGGGCGATTCAGCTTCCAGACAGTGTTGGGAGGGAATTCTCCTGGGAAGCCTTCAGGTCTGTCCATGAACACTGTCTCCTTGAGACGTCCTTGTAGGAAGGCGGATGAGGCATCCATGGATTTGATCTCAAAGTCTTCTCGAGCTGCGACATTCATGAGCGTACGAATGGTGGGAGGTTTGGATGTGGGGGAGAAGGTTAGGAAGAAGTCGCGGTACTGCTGCTGGATGAAGCCCTTGGCTACGTAACGCGCTTTGAACACCGAGGCCTCGTCTGGGAGCTGTTTTACACGGAACAACCACTTGCCCCCGACGATGTTGACTCCTGGAGGTGGAGTCTCGTCGTCGAAGGAGTGGTTGCGGGTGAATGCTTCAATCTCCGCTTCCATGGCAGCACGCCATTCGGCAGCATGAGGGCCTGAGAGAGCCTCTTGGACGGTGAGAGGGATAGGGATGGTCGGGTTTTCCGTGAAGTTGAGTGAGGGTGATTCAGTGATGTCAGGGAAGATGTGCGAGAGCTGGGGAATGATTGCGTGAATATCATAAAGCTCCTCATGCCTATCTTCCAGAAGGGTAGAGGGCACATCCCCCCCGGCAGGAGGAGTCGAAGTGACTGTGGAGCAACGAATAGCCAGGGCCAGAGGAGGAGCCTTAGTGGGAATATACGCTTATAGCGTATATACGCGTATCGTATATACGCTAACGTATATACGCTAACGTATATACGCTAAACGCTTAAGGGTCGATTTGGTAATACGCTTTTTCGGGCAGGTAAAAAACTATCCCGGGCAGGGTGAAAAAAACGTCGTGCTCAAGATTAAGAAGGTGATCCCTATTCTCATTAAGACTTTCGTAGCATTTCCCTAAGTCTGAACGGCGATTGGGGTGGGACGTGGAGTAGACACTAAAAGGAGAAGTAGGTAGGAATCGGAAGGAGCTCTGCTGTTAGAAAGCGGGAATGCCAACTAGAAATGACGACTGGAATTTTGCTGGCTGGTAAGTAGCGTGAGTGGGGTTTGGTGGGGGACGTTTTTGACAGGTTGGAATTCGTAGATAATATGGGTTCCAATGCGGTACCAATCTAATGTTCAAATTTGAACTGCCTGCAACTTCGAAGGCCCACTCCCGCTTCCCTAGACCGTCAAATTGCATTTCGACTTAGGCGAAATGCTCAGCAGAAGATTCCGCATCTTTCTGTATACAAGCGATTTTTTTCCCTGGGCAGCCCGAAAAAATTTCTGATAGCGTATAGCGTATTAGCTAGCGTATTGCGTTTTGCGTACACACGCTAGCGTGTATACGCTATACGCTTTAGGGTTTGAGCGTATATTCCCACTAAGGGAGGAGCAGGGCCGTGCGAGCGAGTGCCATGGGCTACCAGAGAGGAGGGCGGAGCAGGCGGTGTCTGAGGGATTGACTTAGGAGGCTTGGGCGGGGGAATTGACCGCCGCTTGTACGTGATCAGTTCGGGCGGCTGTGGAGGAGCGGGTGCCTGGGAGGAAGGGGGGACTGGGGGAGGAGGTGGGGCCGGAGGGTGCGACCGCCGATGGTATGTGATTGGTGCGCTCGGAGGTGGCGGCGCAGATGGCAGGGCGGCAGGTGAGGGGGAGGGAGGAGCAGCTGCCGAAGACACCGGTGAGGGCGGGTCAGAGACCTCAGAGGGGGACGGTGCGGTGGCAGGAGGGGTAGGAGGTGAAGGGGTCGGAGCAGGCGGGAGGTCAGGAGGCGCATCAAAGTCTGCCCACACGAGGGAGGGTGGATCAGA